AGGGTCTATGACAGCGTAACTCGTGCCACCCCCTCGCCGCTTTACATCTGCTTTGTCTCTAGTAGTATATAGGTTAAGGGCTCGCAGCCCAGGATCCTCGTCCCCTCGCCCTTCGGGAGCTCGCGCTCCTCGAGCTTTCGTTTTTGCACCCGCCCTTCCGCTGCCCCATTTTTGGTTTCGCTTAGCTACGTCTCATGTATCAGGTACATTCGCCTTCCGCCGGCTTGAGCTCGGCCCACCGGTCGCGCGAGAGAGCGGTGGCGACACGGACTCGGTGGTCCCGCGCAGCTTCCGTAGCGCGCGCCCAATACCATCGTTTTCCGTCCTGCCCGAGTTGAGCGTGCATAGACCTAGAATAGTGTGTAACCCTGGGGACTTGCTACGGGCAAAAAGTTCGACCATTCTTACAAGTGCCCATTGGCTGGATTGAACAACCGACCTCACCATTACGAGTGGCGCGCTCTACCACTGAGCTAAACGGGCTTTAAAAGGGGTCCTCCACGCATTAAACTATCAATGATGTGCGATCATCTCGCAATCTTGTCGCTCATCCTGATGGCCACCGCACGGTGCTCGCAGCCCACTGACAGTCCCTCGATGGCGTCGAGCTCGTCCGCACAACCTCAGCAGATCAACGTCACCGACCTCGACGTCCCGCAGCTTGCGGATGTAAGGAGGCAGTTGGAGGAGGTGCGTTCTACTCCTCTCCAATCTGCGGCCCGTGAAGAGTGCTCACTGGCTCGCAAATGTGCCGTCGGCGGTTGCGCTAACCCCGCACATCGCCCTCGCAGGAGCTCACGCACCTCTCGAATTCTTACGCGCAACTGCGTCAAGCGCAGGCCAAGTTCAAGGCGTGCATCGATAATGTCGGGCAGGTGAAGCCGCAGAACAAGGGTACGTCGCGTGCCTTCTCCGCGCACGCGCTTGTTGTAGCTCATCTACCGCTCGGGGTCTACCAACCATTTATCCTTAATGCAAAACAGAGAAGACGATTCTTGTACCCCTTACGAACTCCCTATACGTTCCTGGGAAGCTACGTGATGTGGAGCACGTCATTGTGGACGTCGGGACGGGATACTATGTCAAGAAAGTACGTGCCCTCTGTTCGTTCTCGCCCTCGCTCTCGGTCTCTCGCGTCTAGCTATCTCGAACATGAGCTGAGACAAGGTCTCACACCAGACGCGCCCGCAGGCGATGAAGCACTACGAGAGCAAGGTCGAGTACATTCGCACGAACCTCGAGGCCCTGCAGGAGACGATCCAGAAGAAGCAGGAGAACATGAACTACCTCATCAATGTCCTTCAGATGAAGCTCCAGCAACAAGCTAGCGGGAAAGAGACGAAGGTTGGCTAGCAATCGCGGCGGTGGATGCGCGAACGGCGGAGTGCTTGAACAGTTGGTGCGTAGTGCTCGTGTCCGAGTGACTCTGTTCAGCTAATGGATGTCGAGAGGATAGGCGGACTTGTACGTATAGGTGAAAATGTTAGACACGAGAAGGCACTCTGCATTTGTACTCTGATGACGAGCTAGCGAGTGGATTCATCCATAGGTGAGTGCTTCCCGCGCGCAGGTCCCTGCACATTGTCGCCGGGTTGTCTTCTTAAACGCTCAAGAGCGACTATCTCCGAGGAGAAGATCACTTTGCGAGGAACCTTTCTTATGTGACAGCAGCGGCGGCCGGCGTAGGTAGGTCTTTCATTTTCTTTCCACACACCGCGCGATTTTGGGCACCTCGCGGTCGCAGTCAAGCGACGTGGACGACCGAGAACGCAAGCGGATGGCCTGATTGCAATCGGAAGTCGAACGCAGTATGGCACATAAGTGATCCTGCAGAACACACAACTGATAGGATCATGTACGAAGGGTCTAGGGGCTCATGACGAGCCCCGGTGGGTTCCCGGGCATGCGCTCCATCGAAGGCGAACGCGCTAAGTCGCTACGGTTGATGCAAACGATACCGCTCGCTCATACATGGATCGGAAATCCGTTGACCCATTCTTCTTTTTAGTCCATAGCCATGGTCCAAGGCAATGTCCCTTACAGCAACAGATAGTCACTCGCCATCTTGACGATAGAGTCTGCAATGCCTTCATGGCCCCTCCCATTGCCTGAAGTCGCGGTGCTGACAGAGGCTGATCACTACGCCACCGAGATTTTGACATCGTCTATTTCACGGAGGTGGCCGTCGTGGGCGTACGACCCTCCGTCCAGCTCGACCTCATGAACCGGTCTCACGAGACAAGGAACTTGAACCTTCTTGAGAGCTGATAGACGCCGCAGATGCCGAGTCTGCAGGTGGGTTCCTGTGCCGCTACTCACTCCGTAGGCCTTCAAAACAGTGTCTATCGCCTAACAATCTCCCTATGTAGGTTCCATATCGGACATATCAAAGACAAAGGCACTGCCCATGCTGCGCCCGTCACATCACTGGAAAGACATGGTCGGGGACGCTATGAAAGCATGACCTGTCTTCTGGGTACTGCGATAGTTAATTACTTGCTTCTGTGTGCTATCGTTCAGTCTCATCTCCTAGCTGGCTGCTATTTGCTTTCCCTCCTGAAGCTGCTGCTCCAGTTATGATTTGAAAAGCACTCGTTTCAATGGCAGTTGCATTCAAGACAGTATGCGACATGATGTTAGAACTTAGACGTGCCGGGGGCCGTGCATATTGATCTTGAGCATGTAATCGTGGACGCCTGTGTAAGGTTTCGACTCTGGAAAGTACACGGCCTGCAGTGATCACTGGGTGCTGATAGAACGCGGCCCATCTCGGTCTGGCTGCACTTACGATTCACGTTTGTCGATACCGCTTCATAGACGTCTCATTTGACGCTGACATTGCCTCATTTATAACATCCGAAATCTGACCGCTGCGCTTGATGGGTCATCCTCTTGAAGTGCAGAAGCGTCAGCAAAGCCACGAACAGATTTCGTTTGGGCCTTCTATCCCCCATGATAGCACGAGCTCCCTTCCCGACTCCAAATATAGGCTCCTGTTCGTCACATAGACGCAGTAATAACAGACTAGGGAGCGCTGCTGACAAGGGATAGCCAGCGGCAATAAAGTTCAGGGGGTGCAACATCTAACGCTTCTGTCAGCCGAGTAAGTAAGTGCGCGATACGCCGACCCTCATCATGTTTGAGCATCGCTTCAGGATACAGCCTCGGTAAAGCCAATCTCAACTTATGGTCTTCTTCGTGGGCGAGAGTTTGCTGTGGCCAGTCTCGAACGCGCTTGGAGCAAGATATATAACATTCGAACCCAGACAAAGCCCTAGCAGTCCTTCCTGACCACGATGTCTTCCTCCGGACCACCCATCACAGCGCTACCGCATATCTCCATTGACACTTCCATAGGAGCTATGCTAATTGGAACGTTCATTACCTTGATGTGAGCAATAAATCCTTTGCCCACCGCTCGGATCAATTCTCAACCTTAAGCAGACTTTACGGGGTCGTTGTTCACCAAGTGTACCGGTACAGTCGAACATACTCCCTAGATAAAGCTGGAATTAAGTTCGCGGTCCGTAGGGGTGCTTCTAAGTATCCCCACATGCGTTTTGATAACATTTGTACTATTGACAGGTGTATGCCACATTGTAAGTTCTATACATCGACCGCGGCTCAAATATCACCTTACCCGGATGTCCTAGCATCCTTGAAACCTTTCACACGACATTGAGCTGCCACGCATGGTAGACTACCCATGTTTCGTCACATCTATCTGTTAACCGACCTCAACCGCAGCTATTACTACCTGGTCTCGAATTATCTCAATCCTTCGGTGCTCCTGTATCCTACTCGGTATGTGTTTGAATTGTCCTCGACACACTGCTCAAGCTAACTTCCTAGCCCCTCTCGCCTGTCACCACTATGGACCTGAAGTACCCTTCAGGTGAAGTTTCCCACCCCTAAAGATAAATACATGGTACTCACCTGGGACACAATAGATCATCCCGGTTGTCACGGTATGTCCGAGTTGTAGGGGTATAGAGGACTCCAAACCTTGCGGGCTTACTCTTTGTTGTCTAAGGGTATGATTGTTGCCACCGCCCAAGGGTAAGTATCCAATGCACCTAGCAACACTTGAAACTCAATGCGGTCGATGTTTTCTGCGACAGTTTCTTTGCTCGCAGAGCATACATTTGTAAATGGGCAGCCCCCTGAATCATGAACACCTGAACTGACAATACCCACTTTCAGTCGGACGACAATATAGGATATTGGTGTGCATTGCGGTAGGAATTCGTACATTGTGTTAGGTACTATATGGACTCAAAAGCGACTCTAGGTTGGTTTCTTGATTGGGGAACTTGGTCAGGCTTCCCAAGACTTCTATACGCCATTGCGTGAGGTACTGAATCAGATCATCGCATCCAGGCTGCTGTATTGGTGGGTGCAAAGCATATCGCATGACTATAGCTTCTCAAACCGAAGTTAACTGCTCCTAGCCACGACAATTGTAGAGTAAGTTAGTCTACTACTGTGGGACTCTTGACGCTTATACCTCCCCCCACAAGAATACAATCTGGACCATTTACGGGCTTTGTTCCAAAAACAGTGAGTTGGTTGTTGCTCAGTGTTATCATCTCATTATTTTGCATGGTAGTGGGTCATTGCCCTCGCATCGGGCCTAGCAGTTGTCGCAGATATTATTTTGACGACTGTCTTAATCATCGCCCTGCGCCAGAGTCGCAGTGGTATCAAATCGTAAGTTTTGACCCCCTGTTGCGGGAATCTACCTACTTATTCTCTGTTTTCAGCACGGACTCGTTGGTTGATGTGTTGGTCCTGTATACTATCACTACAGGTTGCGTGTCACCAAGATTCAGGCAGTACGGTGATTCTTACATCCGTATTTAGGGCTTCTAACAAGGTTAAGCTGGAATACATAATTTCGCCGAAGAACAAAGATCTAATCTTTCCTCCAAAGCCTTACCATGCTCGCCCTATTCCTTGTCGTGCGTAAAATTTTCCAGACGTGCGAACAGGAGTGGAAAGCTTACCCCATCCCATAGACAGTGGTTGGACCAGCAGACATGGGGACTTACACTGCGATTTCCATTGTAGCAAGCAAATGTATGTCGTCCATCTTCTAGTTCCGGCTGGCCTGAATGGGAGTATAATGGGGCCTCAGTATACGCGAACTCTCTTCTCGCAGCGTGAGCAGCTTTCGCATAGATCTACCTGTCGCCCCTGTGTTGATCTTCTACCACGCTCGAAGACTGAATAGCAGACAGTCACTGAAGGGCCGTGCGGAAGCACACACGGTCGGGACAGAGATATTCGGCGCTGAATTCGGAAGGCAAGAGCACAACCTTGCTAGTGCTCCTGTCTCACTCGAGTTGCGTGTGAACTCGGGAAGCAATCGTGAGCCTGAAATTCCTCTATCCTGCGCATGAGATAGGTTCACAAATGGAGGCCAACAACAGGATTCACAGCGACAACAGTAAACACGTCGCGCAAAGTTGCGAACGACAATCAGCTTGGAAACCAGGATATGCATGTGGAGGGGTTCAAAGCCCCCAACACTCAGGGCGGTCTTGTGCATATCTGTTGAGCCGTGGACGGGCTTACAAGGTTTTCCGTTGGGGTCCATGTAACGTCTGAAATCTAGTTGGCAGTCATGACGTGTATATGAGACGAGCGACATCCTTTCGGTATAGGTTTTATAGAAGAAGTACACAAAGGGCCTAGACACACTACGTCACAAGCGAGCACATGGACGGAAGAAAGACGCGCAGGAGGGGTTGACATGAATCCGGGTATAATGTGGGTAATAGGAAGGAGGTGGAGGAGGTGGATACACGGCCCGTGAGAATGCGGACAGCGTAGCTACCTAGAGCAGGTTGGTTACCAGGGTGGCTCTAGAGGTGGGTATCACGCGTCCGAGGCCAAAGCGACTCCGATGGAGGGGGCTTGGGGGCGTAGTAGTGGAAGGGGTATTGTGACGGTGGTAATAATGCTCGTGCAAGATGGCGCTCATGAGGGCCGCCAAACCTCATGATCAGAGTACTCGTCAGGGAAGCTGCATGTAGCCGTCCGGAGAAGAATGAGTGCGCTTCCAAAGGCTGTTCGTCGTTTGCGTAGTCGATAGAGCGTGTCTTGAATGATCCGGAAGCGTGATCGGAACCCAGCGCAAGGTACCTCGTACGATCGGGCCTCTAAATGATGAGCAGAGACCAACGGATATATATCGCGCCGGCGTGCGGGTGCTCAACAGACCTTGAGGGTGACATGCAAATCCAACGCGGGTTGAGAGAACGTCGAGGCGTCATGACTTCGATCTCGTGGCGACAGGTAAGCTGCGAGCTTGACTGCGGGCACGGCGCATCGAGGTACGGGCCCCAGCTGGGAAGGCCGGCTCGGGGCGGCTCTCTTTTGCCGCTTCCTGGGAGGCGCAGGTTCTGCAGCTTGAGGTGGTTCGTCTGGCACTATAGGCTTCACAACGGGCGATAGCGGTTGCGCGGGTAGTATCCGATCGTCCTCTGGCCAAGAAGCGTCGCGGAGAACGCTGCAGTAACTCGAGCATGAAAGTGTGATCCGCGACCTTGGCAGCAAGCTCCCACTCTTCGACAGACAGGGTCTCATCGTCATAAGGCGTCCATTCAGCGAGCTCTTTCTGGACCTCCTCTCGCAAAGCTATTGCGCTTTCCGTCAGCTTGCGACTCCTCTTGGGTACGATAGGGATTTCGTGGGCAGACGGAGACCTCGGAGGTTCAGGAATTTCAGGGACCGGCGAGGGAACGGTCGCCTTCATGATCTCGTAGCTCAAGACCTTGCAGCGCGCTTTGAAGCAGGGGAGCAGCGTGGAGAAGACGCCGTCTACGGGACTGTCGAAAATTAGAGGTCTTTGTGGAGGCAAAGTCCGTAGCTTTCCGGTAACTTCCATTGTGATCGACTTCTGCCCGCACGTAAATCCGTGATCTGGACCTGAGTACAGGTGAAAGTAGTTGTCGATCCACGACGTACGATCCTTGCATGTAGAACGGAGGAAGCATCCGCAGAAGTAGAGAAGCACGTGGTAAAAGGACTCGAGCTCGTCCACAATTGTGACCGAGTGCGACGGGCGCTGGAGTGCGTTCACCGACATGAATTGATAAGTCCCCTGAAGCCCATTGTAAGCCTTGGTGGTGACTGGGAAGAACAATTGGGACATACCATGCGAATAGCTTGAGCTGTCCTGGACCCCGCATCACCGTCGACTGGCTTTGACATTTCCCAGTCACTTAGAATCCCGGTGTATGGCGACGGATGGACTCGTGTTCTCGGATCCACGTGTGGTCCTCGAGAGGATGAGCAGATTCCCACTGCTGATGTCACGGTGGAGCAACCGCGTTTTGGGTTGGTTGCGGCCTGGACATGAGCTTTGAGAATGTTTCAGTCCAAGAAGCGTGCCACGCGAACTAATGAAACTCACCACGCAAACAGTCTGACGTGATGGATACAAGCTGACGGCTGTTCTTGAACCGTCTCAAAGGAATACATACCTCTTCGACCACGATTCGGTAGTGCCTATGTTGGGAAAGGGGATCATTTGAACCGATAGTCACGTCGGAACTTCGTTCTCCACCGATGTGGTGGCCTGCGTGATCGCCGTCTGCATCAGCCTCCCGCTTTCGCTTCCTGCTCCCAGGAGTCCCCGAGGTGGGATGAGTATGAGACGGTGGAGATAACGTTGGAACAGGTCCTGCTGCGTGTGAGGGAGCGGGACGTGGGTTTCCGATCCAATTACTCGCGATGGTGACCTGATCGCGCACATCTCCATGAGAGAAGAGGGTTGGGATGTTATCAACACCGGCCTCGTTGCGTCGCTGGAGAATGTCTCCTTCTCGGTCTGCGAACATGTACGACGTACGCCAAGTGTCTTTGAGCCACAGGAAGCGACCCGTCTGGCAGTCCAGGGCGACGTAGCCACGCGTTCCGCGACCGAACATGACCTGTGAGACGAACAAGGGTTTCCCCACGAGGTATTTGCGGAAACCTGTGGTGTGCGGTACGACGAGCTTGTAGCGTGGCCAATCGTCTGCAAGCCATGTACGGAACAGGGAGCATACATACTCGAAAACAGGAGTTTCGTGGGAGGGGACGTTGGGCATCTCACGCGCATTGTGGTCAATATCGGTATGTTGTGGAACGGCGGCTGCGTCCATCCACGAAAAGTGGCCTCTACCTGGGCACAGCCGAGTGGCGCTGAGGTCGAACCCGAGCGGCGCAGCGTCGTCCAGGTGAGAAAATCGCTGGAGGAGATCGCATAGTACCGCCGACTGCCCGTAGTAGTCGAAAGAAGGGGTAGCGATGACTCCTGCATGATCCCATCGCAACAAACGAAATTTGCGACCGATGACAAGGAGCATGAAGAGGACGACGCGGTGTTGGACTGCAAAGAGGAGACGGGCAGTGGTGAGAATGTGGTCGAAGAGCTCCCGTCGTTCGATTGCCACAGCAGAATCTTCTCCGTCAACCTGCACGTTGTCGAAAGGGTCTACACCCCATGAGTGGCTCTTGAACTCGACCGGTATGCTCTGATCGGCCCACGAAGGTCGACGTCTGCTACGAGGGAAGTAGTGACCACGACAGAACGCCGTATCCATGCTCTGCGCAATAGCGTCTCCGAAGGAGTTACTTCGCGAAAGGCACGATAATGTGAAACCGGGAACAAGACTAGCTTGGTTGATGGACTTGATCTAACGCCCTACATCAACTAATCGCTAACCGCCAAGGATGTTGGGAGGCAGCTTACGAAGTGTTCCGAGAGGGCACCAGCTGACATGTCATCAGCATGTCCAAGTGTACTGAACGGATTTCGCGAATGACTTCTTGTGCGGATGGAAAAGCCGGGAGAGGGGAGGAAGGCATCACGAAACTCGTCGAGGTCGAGTTGAATAGCGTGGTTCGCCATGCCAGGTGAGATTGGATGTATATGCAGCGTGAAGATGGGTGTCGGAGAAGGCTTGTGCTATGAGTAGAGGAATATGAAAGTCCTTAAGGAAGCGATTCCGCGAAAGGCGGTCAATGAGGGTGGTCAATGACGGGATGGATGTTTGTGTCGGGGCCCACGCCACCGATATTCGAGTCGGTCGAGATCGACATCCTTTCAATGGGAATGAGCGCCCTAATCTCCCCGTCATCGGCAGACAAGCCTGACTCGATACAGATTTTGAAGATAGTATCGAGGGAGAAATTGAGGCCACACCAGTTGGATCGCACCTCTTCGGCATGATTCAAACTTCGAGCGATGGGCGGCCAGCTTGCGGGCGCTCAATACATAAGCCGGAGCTTGCCGCTGCACCTGAAGTGGTAAGCGAAGTACAAGTTCAATGTTCGGTGGAGCACTATTGTCCTCTGTTCCCCCACGACATACGTAGCCACCCACGTCTTCTCAACCTATCCTTGCTGTGGCGTTCATTCACTGTATCTCACTGTGCATACGCCGGAGCTTCCACCATCTCTCCTATTACACCGCCACTCGCCATGGCGAACTCAGTGGTTCAGTTGGGCAACGACGAATTCTCGCGCGCCTTCCTTCGGCCATCACACATCAACGTGCGAGAAAAGCGTGTCTCCCTCGCTCCTTTCTCCTCACTCAAGCACGCACGCAACATGGACGAGACCGAAATCTCGCAACTGTTTGTGAGTAGTCGTCCAAACGTGTGTGGCTCGGCTAAGATGTCTACCAGATTTCGGCAGTCAACAGACATCACCTCATACCAGGATCAGTGCTTGTTCAAAATGCTCACAAGCTGTCTTGCCCCGCTGCCGAAGGGGCACAGCGCGGAATTAGCGCCTCAATCATCCGCTCTCTTCATGTCCCCAGGCGCGGACAAGCTCATTGGGCAGACCAGAGGGTGCCGGTGTATTTCTTCCCCCGTGTCCCTGATGCGGATCCTTTCGCAGGCGCGGAGAAGAAGAACGATAACACCGAGGCTGGACGCGAGCGTAAATGGCGACTCGAGCAAATGTCTGAAGCAGCGGAGCGTCTTTTCTCCGCTCAGCATCGCGTCTTTCTCTTCATGATCGTCATCTTCGGGCGGAAATTCAGGCTCATCCGCTGGGATCGTGCAGGAATAATTGCGACACCTCCGACAGACTACTATGAGCAACCTGGCATATTATGCGACTACCTGCGGCGGCTCTCTCTTCTTGACGACGCCTCCCTCGGATTCGATCCTACCGCTACTCGCGTTCTGAGTCGCGATCCCGACTTCCTCCGCATGGATGTCGCCGCAACGCTGAACAACCAGGACCTCGATCACTTCAAATGTCATGCGGAGGAAGGCGAAGTCGGCGGACCCCATGTTTTTCGATACGTACGCTCAATGTTTCGAGACAGTCTCTCGTCAGACTGGCCGCGCTACAGACTACAGGTGCCAGACGGTGACAGCATGCGCGACTACCTCGTGGGCAAACCCGTGGTTCATGGCTCTAATGTCTTTGGTCGTGGGACGCGAGGATACGTGGCCTTTGACTGCCGAACTGGTTGTTTCGTATGGCTCAAGGATGTCTGGCGCGCGTCCGTGATGGTCGCTGAACGGGAGGGCGATGTCCTCCGTGAGCTCAACGAGGCTGGGATCGAGAATGTCCCGACCCTCGTATGTCATGGCGACGTCGGCGACCAAGCGACTGTTACCGACCTGTGGTGGTCGCGGGGACACACTACAAGCCCGACGTCGCCCTCGTCATCAGCGTCGACGTCACCTTCTTCCACTGGTAGAAAACGCAAGAGAGCAGCTAGGCACCACAGCGATAACGGTGTTTCGCGCTTTAGGAGTCGACAGGCCCCTTCTGCAAATGCCAATCCACCTTGTCCTCTGCGACGCCACACGCATTATCGCGTCATCGTGAAGGAGATCGCTCTGCCACTCAAGAATTTTCAGCGTGGGAAGCAACTGGCCTCTATCGTTCTCGATTGCCTACGCGGTAAGATTGCGTTTGTCACGGAGACGTCTTAGCCCTGACGCTTGACATGTTAGCTCACCATCAGGCGGCCACCAATCCCGCGACCATGCGCCTCCATCGAGACATCAGCGGGGAGAATATTCTCATCTACCCTAGGGTCAGACAGGAGAAGGACGGAAGGGGTCACTCGATAGTCTGGACGGGTCTCCTTATCGATTGGGAACTCTCCAAGCATGGAGACTCTGAGAATGTGCCGACATCAGAAGGTCGCATGGTGCGTGCACACTTTCTCTTCCGAGTCGTACTTTTACTAGACATCACAAACCGCTGTCTAGGGCACCCACGAGTTCATGTCCGTTAATCTGTTGGGGAACTTACATGATCCCGTCAAAATCTCCGACGAGCTAGAGTCATTTTTTCACGTCCTTGTCTACTATTCCGTCCGTTACCTGCGCTCCAACTGCACCAGTCCCAACTCCTGGCTAGACAACTACTTCTATTTTTGTGGCTTCCCGAACGCCTACACCGGCGCGCTCAAGTCAGTAGCCATCAAGCAGCACGGGTACCTCAGTACGCTAGTGCCCGAGGGACCTCTGCTCTTCGACAGTCCGATGGACCAGCTTCTCGGAACCCTCATCAAGAGCTTCAGGGCACACTACAAAATCATGTATCATGAAGCCCTCAATGCCCCTACTCCCTCTTTCGCCTCTTCGTCATCGTCAGGAACGGAAAGCCAGAAGGCCGCCCGCGCCGCTGCTCTTGCGATCTTTGCCGTCGAGTCGATGGTCCCTGTGACCGTCCTAGAGGATGACCCAGAATTTGCAGAGTATGAGGCGAACAAACAACCAATCGTACATCCAGACAAGACGCCCACGGAGGAAGACCGGCAACTAGCGAGTCGTGTCGCGGACCATTCCTTCGCACTCGACTTCATTTCTCAGTTGCTCCACCGAAATGACTGGCCAGACGACGATCGCATACCCCAATGTCCCGCTCCGCCTCCACCTGCGCACGAACCTGACGTCGAACCCGACGTTGAGGAACCTGCGCCCCCCACCAAACGTCGTCGCACAACAGGTCCTAAGGAGAAGACAGCGAGTCCTACGCGCGCAGGTACCGAAGTCCGTCGTACCCGCAGTAGAACGCGCGCTGCTGCTGCTGCTGCTGCCCAAAAAGGCCCTATACGACGTCGTAAGACCTAGGGTGAGAAACAATGGGGTCGCCTTCCACTGCTCGTATCGACGCTCAAACACCTGTATCATTCATCATTGCGGTACCCTGCTTTCTGACTGCACCACAGCCTACCCTTCGTAAACCACATTGTTCTCACACCGCACGTAGATACCTGACGGACATGTTATCTGCCGTTTCATGTGCTTCTACTGATCGCATATAGTTCCTCCAAATCGGGACCTGCGTTGTGTATTTGTAGGAATCTCCTCCCGCCCATTTCCTGTGGCTCATGTTGCTGCGTAGTAGATGCCCTTTCTTTACCGTGATGTATACACTGTATGATCACGTTACATCTTCGTCCCTCTCCCCCTCGAAGAAGCGGCCACCGATGCTTCGGCCGGGGCCTCTGAGGAATTTTGATCGAGAACGTCCTCCGCCACCTCTTTGTCGCTATCCGAGTCTAGCAGATCGATCTCGGACTTGCCTTCGTCCCGCGAGTCCTCGAGTGGGGGAAGCTCTGAGTCGTCCGTGTCCCATTCGAGCTCGTGCTAGCGGTCGTTTAAATGCTTGATGACTTGCACGCGCTGGCAGATGTTGTCGACTGAAGCTGGCGAGCTGTATCTACCAAAGCTAAGTAGTACACGGCTAGACACCCTTTTGCGCGGCAGAGCAGATTCGTGACCAAGTGCTATGTTCTCTCCCCTCCAGCTCTTTCGAAGCTTGCATCTCACTAGAGATACAGCCCTGAGATCGTATTCTCTCTGCAAGTACTAAGGGGCAACATGATCTGCTCTTCCGACGTAAGCCTAGCAAGCACTGTACCCGTATACATTGGGGGGAACTAACAACTGGCGATGATGCAGAATCAATCTAGATCGAAAGGTACGATAAGGTCCTGATTATCTAGAACAAACAACTTGAATAGCGATGATTGTACACTATTTCGAAGCGGCTACGGGCGTGGTCTTGGGCTTGGGAAGGGCCTCAAGGAGTGGGTAGCGACATTGATAGTCCTTCGAGACGCGGTCGGGGACCTTGTCATCTCCTCTCCAGTCCCGTTCTCTAGAAATAGCATGACTCAATTCCGAGATCATGTACGAGTGGCTAGCAATCTTCTTAGCGAGCTCATAATCGATCGCGGTCGGAATGTCGGGTATTAGCTCTCCGGTATTCGAGTCATCGTACTCTTCGCCTTCATCCCCGCTACTGGCGTGTGATGCACCGCTGCCGCCCTCGATGCGCCTGCGCTTGGAAGGTGGTGGAGTCTGGAAGCGGTCGCCACGTGCAGGGTGTGCGGGATGGTTCGGATGCCTCTCAAGCCATTGCCTCCACACAAGAATCTTGTAACGCGCCGAAATGCAGGCAAAGATTGTCTTGATGAAACGGTTCAAACCCTTGCTGGCGAACTTGATGGGTCGAGTCCCACCGTACAAGGGATGGTCGAAGAGAACGGATTCTGTGTCCTTTTGGGTGACCATCGACCACTTCCGAGTACCGCAGATTATTGTCTCCCCGTGAACACAGAAACAGTCGTAGCATTGCTCCAGGAAATGAGCAGCCTCGTCGTCCGCGGTGATGGTTGACTTGAGATAACGCACTGCGTAGTACACGACGATGTGGAAGAATGATTCAAGCTCATCCTCTATCGTTACTCGCCGTGAAATGTTCATTAGGAGATACGCAGACATGAACTGCCACCGGCCCTATGGAGTTGAAGGTCAGATAATATACTGCCTCGCTGAGGAATGACGCACCGTGCGCTCTGGTTGGCGGGCCTTTGGTTGGATGTTGGGCTCGAGGATAGGCTTCGATATTTCCCAATCTGTAAGGAGGCCGCCCCATACCAAAGAGCGCACACCCTGAGAGGATAGGGTGATCTTGGGGTAGATGACGATGTTCTTATCGCTTATATCTCGGTGCAAGATGCGAACTTTCAATCTCTTGCTAGTGGCGGCACCAGAGTGGGCTGCAAAGTATGTTTGAGATAACAGTTAGGCATCTCCTACATGGTGAAACTCACCGGCAAGGCAGTCCAATATAACTATTCCGAGCTGACGTCCGTGCCGGAAGCGGCTGAGCGGTATACCCACCTCTGCGACGGCAACTCGGTAGTGGTTGTGATGCCGTAGATGGCAGCCTTGGGAGTATACGACAGGACCGGGAGAGGAGAACTGTAAAACGGGCCTAGGCCGCACCGCTGATTGTAGAGTGCGCATATTGGTTCGGGATGTACTCTTCGTGCTGTCGGGTCTTCTGCATGATCGTCGAGGGGCTCTACGAAGTGGCGAATGTGCGGCAGCTGAGGACTGAGGAGTGCAGGGCTCTTCAGGCTCGTCATTGCGTTTTCGCTTTCCCCCTAACGCGTTGTCACCCATATGACTAAGAACGGTGGGCGGGAAATCGGCTACAGGAGGTCGAGGATTCTTGTGCTTCCACCAGTCGGCGGTGAGAGTGGTCTGATTGCCGATGTCGCCGTGGCAGACAAGTGTGGGTACCCCTGGTATCTTCGCGTGGTTGAGACGGGCAATGATGTCGCCCTCCTTCTCAATGTCCTCGAACGACACGCGCCACGAGTCCTTCAGCCAGACGAAACGAGCCCCTTCACAGTGCCACGCCACCCAGCACTGCGTGCCACGGCCAGCCATGCCGGGTGTGACCACTGCGGCCTTTCCAACGAGGAAGTGATCCACCCCGTCGCCTGAAGGGATTTGGAGCTTATATCGCGGCCGGTCCTTGTCCCGAATCGACTCCTCAAACATCTTCCGGACGTACTTGTAGTGGAACGACTCGGGAAACGTCTCTCCCTCGAGGATGCGAGGCGTCTCATCCACCTCGTTGACAACGCGCTGGGCGATGGTGTCCAACTCGTCGAAGTCGTCTCCCTCGAGACGAATGGCCGTAGGATCGATCCCAAGCGCTTCATCGTCCAGATGGGAGATGCGCCACAGGAATTCGCAGAGATCGTCAGGATTCTTGTAATAGTCGACAGACGGGGTGACGACCGTGCCAGCCCGATCCCAGCGCAGAAGACGGTAGCGACGTCCCATGACCAGAAGCATGATGATAAAGACGCGATGCTGGTGCTGGAAGATCAGCTCGGAGTAGGTGATGACCTGAGCGCGTACGTCCTTGCGCTTCTCCGCCTGGGATTCGAAGTCGATACCCTTGTCATCGAATGGATCGTAAGTGTCACCCTTCTTCCTGCTCTTGAATTCCGCGGGCACTACCTGAGACGACCAGTGGGGGCGTCCGTCTGTCGGTGCACCCTGTGAACGGAAGAAGGCAGCGTCGACCTTCTGTCCTGTCACATCCATGTTCTTAGGATCGGGGCGCCTCTCGCTGGTCGTAAATACCATCTTCGGACAGAGCTTCTTCAAAGCCACGACCTTTTGCTAAGAGACATAAGCTGCGGCAAAGCATCTAACCACGGCAAACTCACGAATTGTGCAACCACGTCTGTTTCAAGTTCGTTGTCCGCATTGACAAGACTCTCGAAGGGGTTCCTCTTCCGAGGCTTGCGCTTTGGAGCTGTGGAGGGGTAGGGGAGAAAGGCGTCGAGAAACTCGATGGGGGAGTCTGCCTTCAGAAAAAGGCCTGCCATGTCTTGGGTGGACTTGAGACGATAATTTGGAAGGTCGAGCCCGGCTAGAGTCAGCCACAAAGTGCTGATCTTGTACGGCTTTGCTGGGGATTCCCCGGGCTGGGGATTGGCAGCCATGGTGGTCGATAGGGTCAAGGAGGGGAAATACACAGCCGCTCATATGAACTGTGGGAAGTCGTGGTTAGGAACACGCATGGGCCGTTTTGATTGTTTGGGGAACTGCTAACAGACGTCATCAACCCGTGCGCTTTTGGTGAACAATGGGTGACCAGACTTGCGAGACGAGTGGCTCATATGATCCGGGATACAGCTCCTCCGCTTTGATCATTCTAAGACCCTTAGCCCCAAGCCATGATCGATGCATGATCATCCATTGACAAATGAGTGAGAGCTATATTCGTGTCAGGCCCATGTTTCAGCATGCTCGGAGACCGCATATCAAATTGGCGGCACTGACTAGAGGCTATTGACGTTTCAAATCCTGGAAAAAGACCGCTTTTTTGAGTTCATAGTGCTGCATGCCTCCGAATATTTCGCGGTGTGTGACACGACGTGTCGGTCTGAACTCGTTCGTGGACAGCGTTTGAACGGCTGAGCCACACTATCGGAGTGACCTAGTATTACAATCGCTTTCGATAATAATTGGAGTTATTACCATGCAAATACAAAGAGGAGATCATGAAGGTGAGCATGGTTGCTGCCTGTAGGCACAATGGTCCGGGGGGGAACGTGAGGCCTAAGCGTCGGCCCAAGCTCTGAGACATTCCCATTCGATCATGATGCCCGTAAGAGGACATTCACGTAGAGAGAGGCCACACCGCGACAGTTTCCGAAGCGGTGTAGATGCGGTACGGAGCTGAAGAGCATTGGGTAGCTATGAATGAGCATGAGGGATACGGTTGCTGATGCGTTGACGATGTTGAGCATCGTCGCCAACCGGTGCCACCGTATGACTTGAAACTTGAAGGCGTCTAATTGTTGGCGACAAGCGCTCGATCGAAGGTCTTGAAAAACTTCGGTCACAAATCTCACTGACCCAAAGCGGAGGCCATCGTGGCGACTTAGCTTGAACAGAAGTTTCTCTAACTCACAGACACCTAAGCTATCAGGGGATTCACAGCGAGAAGGTCTAATGGACTCGCGCTGACTGGAGGAGCACACTTGAATCTGAGGCGTCCGAGTCAGCTTCAGTGCATGCATAAAGATGCCATGGACAGAAACAGAGACGGTGCGCTCAGGGCCCTCTTAGAGTCGTCGGTGTTCACGGCAACAGGAAAAACCACGGACTTCTTCGACGAGTCGGAGTCGAGGTCCGCCCCTCTCGTGCCCGGAAGAGGCATTGCGGACATCAGATAACTCATCCGCCAGCGCCGCGGATGCTCAAGCACCTTCACGAGAAAACCCAACAAGAAGGGCGGGCGCGACCGTGACTTTGAGCCCCTCCCCGCGGGTGAGAATACATCCAGATTCGCTCAATTAATGTCAGGGATCCCAGATCCTGACTCGTGAAGAGTGGGGTGGAACGGACAAGAGGCGAGTCAATATATATCTATAAGTTGGCACTCGATGACCCAACTCGATGCGATGAGATGCTACAATAACAGGGGGTCTGGATAAAGGAATATGTTACCGTACCAAGCAAGCGATGGAATAAGTTATGATCAAATGTTCTAAGCCACAACGTATGGAGGTAGATTGATGATGGAAGATGGTCTAATGCAGGCGGGGAGGACGGACACAGATGCGTCAACCTCGGGCCGCAGGAGAGGGTATTGGAATAATACAGCAGGAGCGAAGGCTATTCACCCCCAGAGCTACGTGACAAGATGCGAGCACGCTTCATGACCTCGCTCTCATCGGGAGGGTACGTGGTCTTGGGCGCGAGCGGCGTGTCGACGAATGCAGACGAGCAGGAAGGGAGACGCCGCGCTCTGGGCCCTTCGTCCGCAGCCTCTTATTGCCGGTACTAGTTTCGGTGGGAATAGCCACCGACCGCCTCAGCGAGTCCCCGTCCAATTTTGCCCCGCTGGTCTCTGGGGGAGGCGCCGGGGTTATTCGATCGCCCAGCCGCCAGCGCTGATGGTGGAGAATCTCCGCGAGATAATCTAACATGAAATCGTGAGTCGTGACCTTGGACGCCAGCTGGAGCTCCTCGGGGGTGGGGATGCTGTCAAGTAGGTCATCATCTAGATTATCCCAGTCGACGTCGGCAATCCCGGAGCCTGACTCATTAGAGTCGGGCAGAACGGCAAGTTTATCGCCATCGTCACGTGGGGAGGGTGGATCGCAACGCGGAGGAGGGCGATGGGGGCGGGCTTTGCGTGCCTCGTGATCCAGGACCTTGTAGTGCGCCGCGAAACACTTGACCATGGTAATAAGGATGTTGTCCATAGGACTGAAGAACTGGAGCGGCATGTAAGGCCGTTGTATTTGAAGCACGCCGGAGCTTTGCATCGTAACAGATTTTTGACCGCACGTGTACTGGCAGTCAGGGCCAGCGTAAGTGTCGAAGTATCCTTTGATGAAGCCTGTAACGCTGCTGCAGTTGGACTGGAGGTACCGTACCGAGTAGTAGAGGAGGACATGGAGGAAGGATTCTAACTCGTCCGAGACCTTGACGGGTTTGGACAGGTCCGAGAGGAGGTTGACCGACATGAACTGATACGTTCCCTTGGTGCTCTACGTCAGCCCCAGTTCGACATGGCCACGAGCTATGAGCTAGAAAAACGCACCATGCGATTCGCCCGAGTAGCACCGGAGGGCGCTTCTTGTGCGTCGATCGGTTTCGACATCTCCCAATCGCTGAGTATGCCGGTCCACACCATCCAAGGATTGGTACCATCCTCATCACGGATGACTTTGGGGTATATCAGGATGTTGCCGCTGCTGATGTCGCAATGAAGCAAACGGAGTGTAGGCTTCACAGATACTTGATGATGGGCTGTGGCAGAAGTGTCAATGCAACGGAAGCTACGACGCATGACTGAACGACAAACCGCGTATGCAATCCAGCACGATGGACACAAGTTGCTGGCCGTATTGGAAGATCTTCAGAGGCAAACACACCTCTGCCATGACGACTCGATAGTGAGTATGTTGCCGAAGAGGTCCAGTGGTTTCAGCGATGGCGTGCGGCATAGAACCATCCGATTGCATGGGGAGCGTGCGGACCATGGCGTCTTCAGCCCTCTTCCGCTTTCTACCGCTCAACGAGATCGGGTCGGAAGAAGTGTTAGAGGATGACCTCGAGGATCCGGCTCGGGATGCGTGGCGCGAGAGGAGAGAAGACTGGCGCTCCCACCAATCAGCTGTGATCGTCGTCTGATTATTGACGTCGCCGTGACAAACGAGGGTCGGGACATTAGTGACCTTTGCCGCGTTCAGTTTCGCGAGGATGTCGCCTTCTCGATCCGTGATCTTGTACGACGCGCGCCACGCGTCTTTCAGCCATACAAAGCGGCGGCTTGAGCATTCATAGGCGACATAACCACGCGTCCCGCGACCCATTGTCCCACTGGCATGGAAGGTAGGTTTGCCGACGAGGTAGTCGTGCTTCTGGCCACCATCCTGAACAACTAACCGATGACGTGGCCAGTCGCAGTCCAGCGACGTACGGAAGAGCGAGCGGATGTATGCGAAGGTGAAAGGTTCACGAACATCCCCTTCACTCAGATCGCGTTCCGAGTGGTCGACGTCCTTCGCGTCAGGAAGTGCTGCGACATCCATACGCAAGAAGTCGACGTCATTAGGACGCAATCGAGTGGCAGTGGGGTCAAAACCCAGAGAATCGTCCCCCAGGCGGCATAAGTGGTATAGGTAGTCGCAGGCGATGGTCGGCTGTTCGAAGTAGTCGACGGGAGGGGTGGAGATGACGCCAGCACGGTCCCAGCGCAAGATCCGGAATCGACGACCCATGACAAGGATCATGAAGAGGAAGACGCGATGTTGAGCAGTGAAGAGGAGCTCGACGGAGGACGAGAGTTCGTCGTAGATCTCAGTTTGATCATCATTCATTCTCTCACCCCCGGAAACCAATTGAGTGGGGTCAAAAGGATCCGCACGGGGATGATGGCAGTAGAATGAGATGGGCACCAATTGGTCGAACCGGCACGGCTGATCACGTCGAGGACCACGAAAAATAGCCGCATGTTGTGGTTTGGGACCGTCGTCGTTCGTATAATAGGATTCGCGTATCACCGGTGAGACGCAGCAACCTGGAATGATATCGCTTTTACTGACGGCCTGGATCTTTGCTGTCTGTTAGCTAACTCGGATGCAAGTGCAAGTTCGGTGATAACGATGGCTTACAAAGAGTTCGGATATAGCTTTTCCAGACAAATTGTCTGCGCTTGCGAGCGCAGAGAAAGGATTCGAGGCCGCATAATCAATGAGAGGCGCGTCTTCAGTGGCGAGTAGCTCACGCCGGAATTGATCGTGTTCCACATGCACAATTGTGCCGGCCATACTATGAGAGAGCAGATATACGTCAGTCTCCCAATACTGAGCCTCAGTAAGTGTAGAGATAGGAGGACGGATAGAGGTTGTAGATGAGCGCACGGCGCACTGATGGGATGCGGGGAAGGTGGTGGTTGGCGTTCAAGTTCAACTGAGTGAATGAGCGCCGGCGCTTTCTGCTCAGGCAATCGGCTATGCATCGCTTGCGTATATACGCCGGGTGACCTTGTTTGAGCATTGCTCCAGGAGGATACAGCAGTGAAGCTAACATGAGTTTTTGTCTTCTTGGTGGGCGGCGAGGACTAGCTGTGGCCAGTCTCGAAGGCGCCTCAAGCAAGATTGGATGAATATGAAGCCGTGACCGTTGAGCTGGCCTCAATGCGAGTTTGATGAGGCTTCAGTTTACGCAAATTCTCTTCTCACAGCGTAAGCATTATCAGCATAGATATACTTATCGACCATATGTTCTTATTCTACCACGCTCAACAAACGAACAACAGACAGCCACTAAAGGGCCGCGCGGAAGGCAGGAGCACAATTCCGCTGTCTTGAACATGAGACAAGTTCAAAAATTGAGGGCCAGTAACAGGATTCGCTAATACAACAGTAAATACATCACGCAGATATGCCAACCGAGAACAACTTCTTGACTCCTAAACCAGCCTATGAGTAGGGGGAGGTTCAAAGTCCCCACCACTCAGCGCGATGATCTTGTGCATATCTTCTGAGCCGTGAACGGGCTTACAATTTTTTTTCGGGGTCCATCGCACATCAGAATCTAGTCAGCAGACATGACGTGGGCATGAGACGAGCGAAGTCCTTGCGCGAAGAATTACACAACGGGCCTAGGCGCACCACGTCGCATGCGAACACAAATATAGATGAAAGAAGCGCAGGAGCGATATACACAAATCCGTATATAGTGCGGGGTAAGGGGAGGAAGGTGAATACACGGCTCGTGAAAATCCGGACAGCATAGCTACCTAGAGCAGGTTGGATATCAGGGTGGCTCTAGAGGTGGGTATCACGCGTCCGAGGCCAAAGCGACTCCGATGGAGGGGGCTTGGGGGCGTAGTAGTGGAAGGGGTATTGTGACGGTGGCAACAATGCTCGTGCGAGATGGCGCTCATGAGGACCGCCGAACCTCATGATCAGAGTACTCGTCAGGGAAGCTGCATGTAGCCGTCCGGAGAAGAATGAGTGCGCTTCCAAAGGCTGTTCGTCGTTTGCGTATTCGACAGAGCACGTCTTGAATGATCCGGAAGCGTAACCGGAACCCAGCGCAAGGTACTTCGTACGAGAGGCTACAGAGGGCAATGGACAGATATCGCGCCATGTGGTCCGCGCAGAGCTCACAGCGCGAAATAAAGATAAAAAGGATCGAGACGGTACCTTGTGTCCTCCACAGAAGGTCATAACGACAGTCCGGACGCTAGTCGTTCACTTCGCATGGACAGGGTGAGTGAGCGCTTCCTTCCGTGTGTGACTTCGCGTGCGACGTGTGGTTTCCTGAGGGCGAGGAGGACGGGAAACATTCTTCTGTGTCTTCGTGGTCCGTCGCCTCTTGTTTCTAGGAGGTTCAGCGGGTGTAGAGCTTTTGTGATCTTCTGCCACCGCCACCGCCCCCGCCGCTGTGAACATCTTCGTCTCCCGAGACAATGGTCGAGGCTGTGTGATCCGATCGTGTTCCGGCCATCGCGGATTCCCGAGAACTTTTTCAAACAGCTCAATCATGAACTGGTGGTCTACCAACTTCTCAGCGAGTCGTCGGTCTTCTACCGTCGGGCTATCATCCGGGGGCGTCCACGTATCCCACTCCGCCTCGATCTGCGCGATAATCTTCTCATCTATACCGATCGATCTTGCTCGATCATATACGTGAGTGTCTCCCGACGCCGGCGGTGAACGAAAGCTTCTGGGCGGAGACCGTAGCGGAAAAGGGCAAGGGAGGGCGCCTGCTTGAGGCTCGTACTCCATCACCTTGTACCGCGCTCTGAAGCTCTGGAGAGCGTTGAAGCAAAGGCCGTCCATTGGGGAGTAAAACAATAATGGTCCCCGAGGGGAGAGCGAATTCAGACGACCAGAGGTCTCGATGGCGACCGATTTCTGTCCACAGGTGTGCATGCGGCCCGGACCGGCGTAGTGATTGAAGTAGGTCGTGACCCACCAGACGGGGTCGTTGCAGTTCGAATGCAGATGGCGGACGGCGTTGTAGACCATGACATGCAAGAACGACTCAAGCTCGTCTGCGATCTTGGGATACTCCGAAGGGCGCTGGAGGAGATTCACGGACATGAACTGATACGTTCCCTTCAAAGACGCTGTCAGTAGTGGCGGAGATGGTAAGGGATAGCTGGGGAACACACGATGCGATCCTTCAAAGTTGCAGTGGGAGGCATCTGCTCATCGATGCGCCTCGAAAGCTCCCAGTCAGTGAGAACGCCACTCCACACCAACGCCGTACCGTCCGTAGTTTCTCGGAGCCGGGGATAGATGAGGATGTTGCCGCTGCTGACGTCGCAATGGAGCAGTCGTACCCCGGGGTGTGTAGCAGCCTGTTGGTGAGCTACGAGAACGATCAGCTTATGCGATGTGATGGTGATCAAAGCATGACAAGACGTACTACGGAGGCAATCGAGCATGATCTTGACCAGCTGCTTGCCATTCTTGAACTCCGTCAAGGGTAAGCAGATCTCCTTGACGGCTACGCGACAGTGGGTATGTTGCCGAAGAGGACATCTTGACAGAGCAGCCGCTTGGGGACTGGGTTCGCCAAGGGCTGAGTCCGAGACATCGTCATCAACTACGTCTCTCCACTTGCGCTTCCTGTTATCGAGCGACGAAGACCGGGGAGAAGGACGAGACGTTGACATGTTTGTCTTTGACGAAGAAGGACTTGTCGAGGAGGGAAGGGGATGTGTCCTTTCTCGCCAATCCCCAGTCACCGTCACCTGATTGCCGACGTCTCCATGGCACACAAGGGTGGGCACGCCATCAATACCTGCCGCGTTAAGTCGACTGAGGATGTCGCCCTCCTTTTCAAAGTTCACGTAAGACAGACGCCACGTGTCCTTGAGCCAGACGAACCCGCGCGTACGACAATCCAATGCGATATACCCACGGGTGCCACGGCCAGACACGTCCTCCGCCATAAAGACGGGTTTCCCGACAAGGAATTTCCGCGCCATTTCGCCAGAAGAGACTTGCAGCCTGAAACGCGGCCATTCAGTGGCGATCGAGGCACGAAAAAACGGGCGGACGTAGTCGAAAACGAAAGGCTCCTCGAGTTCGCCCCAATGCAGATCACGTTCAGCATGGTCGACGTCAGAGGGATCGTGCCGAGCCGCGAGGTCCATTCGCAAGTAGTCCGGATCGCCGGGAAGAACGCGAGTGGCACTTGGATCAAACCCAAGGGCAGTGTCGTCAAGATGCGCGACTCGCCAGAGGAAATCGCATAGGAGCGAGTGGTTCTCGTAGTAGTCGGCTGAAGGCGTAGTAACGAGGCCTGCGTGGTCCCAACGGAGGAGGCGAAATCTCCTGCCGCACACAAAGAGCATGAAGACGAAAACGCGATGCTGCGAGGTGAACAGAGGCTCCACGGCAGCGCAGATACGACTGAACGATTCTTTTCGAGCGTCCTCAACTTCTTCCGGTATGTCTCGTGCGTCGCAATGGTCGAATAGATCGGCGCCGAGCTCGTCCCGTGCAAACTGTACCGGAACGACCTGGTCGGCCCAATGATGCGGCTCGCCCGTACGCGTGTGCTGGCCGGAAAAGATCGCAACACTGAGCTTTGAGTTGAATTTTGAGGTCGTTTCGCATGGGTTACGGCTGCATCGCGACATTTTGAGGCCTGAAGTGGAGTTGTGGCCGTTGGATGCGTCAATCTGTTGTGGGTGTAAGCGCAGGGGAGTGGAGATGAGGTTGGGATACGGACAAAGCACTCTGCAATCTGGTCCTCGGAAAGGTGGTTCGCATTTTTGAGACACTTGTATGGGTTTTGTGGTACGCGTCTCACACGAGACGGGCGATTGTGGTACGTGAGGAACTCCCGACGAAACTCTTCGTGCTCTAGCTGAACGGCACAATCAATCATGGTAGCTAGCAGAACAGAGGATAGTTGAGCGGATGACAACAAATACAGTGCTTTGCAAAAAAGATTGCAGTGCGAAGCGCGCAAAATCCTGTTTGCCCCTGTTTGCCCACCCGGGGAAACGCCTGCAATGCCGGAAGCCTCTTTGCAGCATGGTCGATTTTCCAGCCACAAACCTACCGGATATATTCAGAAGGTCGTCATTCGGAGGCAAAGAATATCCTCGTGCATTTTTGCAGTAGGAAAGCGGACATGGACTCAAGCACGGCTTTTACGGACGGAGTCCTTATGAGCGTCCGGTTCCCGAAACAGAAATCCTTGCCGTAGCCGACGAGTGACCAAACAGGAGCAGACAGGATTTGCGCGCTTCGCACTGCAATCTTTTTTGCAAAGCACTGTAATGATGGAACGCGCCTTCGAGTCTCTTCGGCTTGCCGGTGCGCGCGCTAGAACTGTTTAAGCATCTTGACGCCCAAACATATCGGACTTGTACATCCGATGATCGCTTCCCTGCTCCTTTATGCGCCACGCTTCATTGTCGGAAGAGAACTACGTACAGGTATGCTTACATTACATAGATTTTGTATGACGTTTCAATTAACCTATCCTTACTTGACTGGACAGGAACAGGTGAAGCTATTCTTGTCACTTGCGTGCAGAAGAGGCAGCATAAGATGAGCTCACCAGGGGCCGTGTGCATGATCCATCAATCCCTCGACACCGATCTTATTAACCATGTCCACCGATTGAGCCCAAGAACCGCAGCGGAGTGCGTTGCTACTAGCGGATCGCCCGATTGTGCGCACTGCTCAGACCACGGGCTTACGTCGGAGGAGCATATCAGATTGCCGTTAAGTGCCAGCATAAGCAGAGTCGAAAGTGAGGAAGATTTCAGGGTCATGTTTCCAGTGAAACACAAGTCTCGGGAGAGCTTGGGGACAAGGCCGCCATGATAGTCGCCGCCGAACGACTTACATAAGCGACAAGTTATCAAAGACAAACAAGTGCAAATCCGCTACCGTTAGGACTCGCAGGAGCGCGTCCTCGAACTTGACCTGCTGAAATAGTACAGGCTCCGTCCCTTCGCCGTTCCACTCGCCGATCGTCTCAAATGGAACGTTCAGTCCCATGCACACTCACGCAAGACGATCTCACTTGGGCGTCGGACGATATCTTTCCCCAGAGCATGCTCTGAACATTTCAAGATGTCTCGAGTTCTCAGACTTCGACCCTAGTCCTCCACCTCTGCTGCCGTATCCTCGTATCGCTCGGTGCTTCTAGATATTGACATTCTGCTGGAAATCTTGCGCTACTTTGACTACGACTTCTGGGACATCCGTGACGGTCCCGAGCTAGACATGTCAGGCCGTCTCCGCTATCACGGTCAGGCCGTCTTCGCTATCACGGTCAGGCCGTCCCTCCAAAGTCCTTTCCCTTCTAGCCATCCACAGCCTATGGCGATGGTAGCGTTCTATTGCTTCCCTTCTTCGTCTTATCGAACACACCTCAGATTAACGAGTCAAGCTACTTCCGTGAGTTCAAGCCTCTATGTACCTCACACTTCCTCGCACTCCTCCTATGGGCTTCGTTAGGGAGACACTTGCATACAGCTGGTGTCATCTCCGCGCCGATGCGACATGCTTATTGAAGCCCGATGCACATGAAGTACAAAGGTGGTGATCCAACACTGTGGTATGTCGCGCTGTGTCTTACTCGCGGATGACGTCTGCTTCGCAAGCTTCGTGAAGTCCAATCATCCGCACTCATTCCCCTAAGCAACATTTCAGTGGAGAGCATTCCGGATGCGACTATACACTCTGGCTACCGGCCCTCTCATACTTCCGTGCCACACTTCGATCCATGCCCATAGTACTACCCCTCGTCTCTGGCCTGCAGTGTCTTCAGACTTTCCTGCTAAGTCTCCGCGATGCTGGGCAAAGCTCCATTCACAAGTACATGACCTATTCCGTCCAGTAGTGCCGAAATTCTGGGGCATCTTGATGTTGGCCTCGAGGTAATATACACACCTTTCGGCCACCCATGCAGCGGCTTCAGCGCCCTAGCCCCCCCAGTGACGGGTGCTACGTCCTCTTCGCTTCTCCCTTCCTCACTAGCCTTACCGTACACCACTACCGGATCTCACGCTCATGTACTTTCTCATCACCGGCGCGATTTGGGCTGGATACTTCCCGCTCCTTCAGACCTTCTCTTGTCGGCTTGTGCCCAACCTAGCTACGCCTCGCGCTCTCGCGGGCGTCATCGCGCCCCCTGCTCTGTCTCCGAGACATGCGCGACTTCAAGCTCATCTCTGCCTTGGACGCCCAAGCGAATTGTCGCGACGAGGATCTAGTCGATATTGCTCAACGGTGGCCGCTCCTCACCTCCCTCCCCCTTGTCGCTACAGTGGGAGAGCCGGCTTGGGACGCCGACCCCCCGGCTGTCCTGACGCTCGAAGCGCGCTCGCGTGCCTGTGTCTTCCACGCCTTGTCTTTCGTTTGGGCGACCTGCGAGTCTCCGCGGCGTCGAAGTGCGCGAATGGAGGTCATGGATCGCGGGAAATCATGGTGAGGTGGACTGACGCGGAGGGCCACTTGGTCGTAGCTGCCCTTGTTGACTGGATGTGGAGATTCGCGAACGGTTGTGGGGAAGTTTACTCGAGCAGGAGGGAATACTAGAGCTTTTTTCCAGAGGATGACACTTGAATGTATGACAAGACGTGGTCTTCCTTGTTCTACATACATCTAATCATGTCCCTACGCAGAGATCGCAGTTTTCGCAGCGATCCTGTCCTTGAGAGCAGAACCCGATGCGTTCGGTGAGTTGTTCTAATGACATGTTGAAAATGACATCTTACTGCAGTGGTATCCACCCGTAGTTGTCGTGCTTCTCGATTACCAGGGAAGCACGTTGTCTCGTAGTGTGATATGTCGCCTCGTCTCCTGTTCGAATTTGGACGCAGGCGTGCATACCAGCGCGGGGTCGCAGGTGGAGTCGGAATTCCGCACACGACTCTCAGTAGGAGTATTATAGATCATTGTTCGAGTGCGAGTGTTTTGAACCTAATTGTGTGGGACAGAGCAGGGACCATTGCCGCCGTTGTGCCATCAGCTGCTTTGTGAGTCAATGCACCTGTTCAGTCCCTGTTTTGTGAGAGATCTCGACCCATAAAGACCGCATCAGCTCCGTGAGTCGCTTATTGTTGGTTTTCACGCACATGGTAAAGCGCCGGGATCCTGCGTATTCCTAACCACACCACCGCTTACGCGCTTGCGGGCGGCTGTTCAGGTTGCTCCTTGTTCACCTTCATCACCAATGGCCAGCGAATCTCCGCCAACTCATCCTCTCGATGGTTTCGAGGCGACCCCGCGCAAGTACGACACCACCACTCTCTCCATTGGTAGAGCAGCCAATCTCAAGACTTGTCGGCTGCAGGCCTCGAATGAGCTTACCGGCCAAACAATCAAGATCGACTCAGTCACCGAGTTCCTCGAGGCATTTCTTCCCTTGCCTTCCAATGCCCCTAAATGTCCGAAACACACGTCGAACCCGTTCCAAACCCTCAAGGATGCCGACTCTATGGTTGAAAGGACTATCACAGACAGACTGGTACGTTTCTGAACTTCTAACCACAAGTCTTATCTCACGCGGCCCCAAGGTGGGGGCAATCACCACGCATGAGCTCTGCCCAAGTCTGGTGATGAGTCGCTCGGAGACAAGGCCCGATTCCTTGGAGATTGACTCGACCAGGCAGAAAGTCGACGCCGCGTTCTTCCATCCACAAGACGCTCCGAAGGACGGGTGCCCGCACTGGGTGGACCAGGTAGTGCCTGTCGAATTCAAGAACCGCAAAGAGGGCAACAAGTTTGACCCGTTCGACGACCGCGAACAAGCTCAAACCGACACGAATGCGAAGAAGCGCAAAGCAAGCCGAGGGCAGATCATTACATATGCGGATCTCCTGTTCTACCTTCAGCACCGCGTGTTCCTCTTCATGCTCCTCGTTATCGGTCGTCGCTTCCGCCTGATTCGTTGGGATCGTTCTGGTATCCTTGTCACGAGGTCCACCGACTACTATGAAAATCCTCAGCTTCTCTGCGAGTTCATGTGGCGGATCTCCTACCAACCACAAGAGGCGCTCGGACTGGATCCTACTGCGACTCGACTTACATTGCGGCCGGACCTCACGAACGAGATGGATGAAGTGCTCGATGAGCTCCGGAAGCTCGCAGTAGACCACATTCCACGCACGCTCGATGAGCCACTCCCCGAGGGCTACATCTTCCAGTACGTCCTCAATATGTTCGCCGAGTCGATTCGATGTCCCGAGTTTCCCCGATACGAGCTTCGAATCACAGACGGAGAAAACACTCACAAGTTCCTTGTTGGCAAGCCGGCATACCGTGGGTCAGGCGCATTGAGAGGATGCGTACGTGGTTGGGTGGCTTTGGATCTCGAGAAGAAGCGCTTCGTGTGGCTGAAAGACACTTGGCGCCCATGGGGCGAGTCTATCGAGAAGGAAGGCGACGTCCTTCTACGCTTGAACGAAGCTCATATCGAGGGTGTACCGACTGTCGTATGCCATGGTGATGTCGAAGAACAGGTCACGGTCACGGCCACTTGGTGGGGACGCGAGACCGTTCCTCGGTGCGAGCCAACTCCGACGACTCCACCAACGGGGCCAGCTAGTCCCTGCACCACCTCCTTGGGTTTTGTCTCCACTGGCGCACGTGTATCAAACACGGTTCCCGTTACGGAGAACCCTTTACTTAACGGAGGATCCCAGACCGCGGATGTGCTCGAGACTCGGAACAACGAGAAAAAGCGCAAACGGGATAGTCCAGAGCCAGGCGTTCCCGATGCCTCTTCTCAGACAGGAGAGGGAGATATCACTCCTCCTCGCTTCCGTGCCGATTGTCCATTGCAGGACTACAGGCACTATCGTCTTGCTGAGAAGGAAGTCTGCCTTCCCCTGAAGAAGTTCCACGACTCACGGCAGCTTGTAGGGCTTGTCATGGATTGCATCGTCGGTAAGTCTCGATTTCCTGGTTTCGCTGGTATCATCGCTGACCCCCTGCTCTGTAGCTCATTATGACGCCGCGGCATCTGACGAACTGAAGATTCACGTTCTCCACAGGAACATCACCGATGGCCATATCATGATCTGCCCCAAGATCGTATCGACGGAGCAGGGTCTCGAGCTGATATGGAAGGGTTTGCTCATAGATTGGGAGCTTTCCAAACCCATTGTCGGTCCAAACGAAAGGTCGCAGGCACGTCAGGCAATGTGCTGTGTACGTATTGCATTGCCCTTGCGATGTTGCACATCAGGAAAACGTCACGGACTTGGACCCATACTTGGGCCCAAGTTCATGTACTTGGACTCAAGTCCGTGTACTTGGCCTCAAGTCCGTGTACTTGGACTCAAGTCTGTGTACTTGGCCCCAAGTCCATGTACTTGGTCCCAAGTACACGGACTTGACCCAAGTCTATATACTTGGGGTACTTGGGGTACTTGGGCCACAACTTGGACTTCACATGTTGACTTCAGTATACTCAGGCCTCAATTTGAGCAATTGGTGTTTTATCAGTCACACATCTTGTATACTTCTTATGTAATAATATCTATCATAGACAACCATACACTAGTTGTAAACCAGTCTGTTTTAAGGCTGTAGAAGCAGCTTTATAGTCTATTAGAAGAAGGGCAATAACATGTGATAGAAGACTTTAAGTTGTTACAATGTGCTTGTTTCAGTAGTGATACAGAGGTACAATATCCAGATAATGCTCAAGAATAGTGGTATCAGTGGTGGATGTCCAAGTTCTGCTATGGTACAGGTGAGGA